GTAGATCGACACAATAATCATTGGATCGATTTTGTTTAGTGTATTTTTTAATAACTTTTCTTTACTTTGTATTTTACTCTTTATTTTTAGGATTTGAGTACCTCTTATACTTAGTTTAATTAATTGATGTTATTTGCTTATAAAAAAAATTTTGAATTCAAAAAAATTTATTTCTTGAGAAATTAAAGAAGATATTTTTCATTAATTGTGGAGACGCGTGTTTTTTTTTATTTATCTCTTTCCAACCATTATTATCTATCCACTCAAAATTAGGTTAACATTTTCCTAATACCTATAGATTGAAATGATTGATACACTACTTTATAACTTTAGTCTTTAAGAAGTATATTGAATAAGTCAAAGGAGTAGTTTCCTGTTGAATTTCCCCATGCTTGTTAAGCTATGTTGTGGTATGTGAGATTGGTGAAGTATATTGAATAGGTCAAATTACTATTAGGATATAAGTTTCATCAAACAAAATTTTAAAATTTGAATATGATATGGTAATGTAATTTCAATTTAAAATATGATAGTGTCATATATTTTCAATTAACTCGATTCCAATATGCTGCATGTGAGAGACTTAACTAAGTTATTTGGAATATAACATTAATTTATATGGGTTGTTCTTCATATGATGAAGCTTTTAGAAATAAATTTTAAATAATTTTATGGAAATGAAAAAATAAAATTAAAACAATATATATAAAAATATATGGTATTGTTAAAAACTAACTCTTAAAACTTTTCTACTAATTTTTTTTTATATTTCTCATTTATTTCACTGGCCTACTTAGGACATATTAACTTGTATTTTATCTTTTGTTTTCACTTTTTAATCGAAAAATGATTCACTTTTTTTTTCAATTTGTGTTCAAAATGTTTGTACAACAATAAAGAAAAATTTAAAGTAATTTTGACTGCTACTTTACAAATATTTTAAACACAAGGAACTTAATAAAACTATTAAAAATTTATTAACTAAAAAGCGACACAGGAAAGAAAAATAAATACCCCTTTCTCTTTTTGCTTATTTATTTTTAAAAATTAGATCAAATATATTTTTACTCTACGTGTTTTACATTTTTAGTAGTTTCCTTTAACCTTTTCCTTCGAAATTAACCTAACAAAAAATCTAACTGCTCAAAAACAAAAAAAAAGTACAAATATGTAAGGCATGATAGGGAGGTACACATACACTGATTCATTGAAATTAATACTATTCATTGATTAAACATAAGATATTTTTTGAAGATTGGATGGATCTGAAATGAAAGAAAAACAGGGCATAAATAGAATTTGTAATAGGAGTTTGAATCGTGATTTAATTTGTCTCATACCGAGTTTTTAGTAATAAAAGATATATATATATATATATATATATATATATATATATATATATATATATATATATATATATATATATATATGTTTGGATAAAATGAATATGATTTATTTAACTCCCATATTAAACTTAGTGGAGTTAGTAAGGAGTTTATCCATAATAGACATCTTAATTAAGTTAATACTTCTAAGTGGGAAAGGTTTATAAAAATTAGTTTTAATTTCAACTCTTGAACTATATAAAATTTATGGACATATCACGATAACATCATATGTTTAAAAAAATATTATATCTTTTTTTATTTAAATTCTAATAATCTAATTTAACTTGTCCCATAAGTGTGGATATATATAAAAAGAAGAAATATTATGATGAATCAACTCATTTAATTTACTTATTTTAAGTCTTGAAAAAGAAATTGAAACCAACCAATCTATATAATTAATTATGGAACGATGTTATGAGTAATTTTTAATTTTTATCTTTTTTTTTCACGTTTTCTAATTACATAGTAGAAAAAAATTATTAAAAATAAAATGAAATATATTATGATAAAAATATTTTTGTTATTTCAACAAAATATTCAAAATAACTTTTATTTTTATTTTACTTTTCATCTAATTAATTCTTTCTTTATTATTAATTTTTTATTTCTCCACCAAATGGAATGGAACAGGAGTCAACTTGGTTGCTATCATATGAACTTGTTTTAAACATGTGTGTGTTACATAGTTGAATAGTCAAACATCTTTATTACAAAACCATTCTCTTATCCTCTCACTGGACCGCATTTACCAATATTTATTTTGCAACATTATTTGACTTTCATTTCATTGTAGTAATCTAAAAAAAAAAAAAAACTACTACTATTATTATTATTATTATTATACACGTGGATTTGAATTGATAAAATTTAAATGTTGAACTTTGGTGTTATTGATATATAGGGGAAGCATCTAAAGTTAGGTTTTCTTTGAATTCACGTATAGGAGAAGTGAAGTTATAACCACACATTTGAATTTAAAATTAATTGATTTTAAATAAAATGACCATCCATCATTTTAGAAAATTAAGAATTAAGATAAATGATATAACCCTCATTATAATATTAAGTAAAAATTTTCCAATTTTTATTAAACTAAAACGATATGTATTATAATAAACGAAACCAAAAATATTGTATAAAAATTATTGACTTTATAGACAACACAAGTTAGATAAACCATCTCTGGGACTAGAGAAAGTTACGAGAAATTTCGTGTAGAAGGCGTTAGAAAGTGTTTGATATTTATTTATATTCATGACATGTGAAGGAAATAGTAAAATAGTAGTAGTGTATGCAAGTGCTTAGTCATGGCTTATTGATGAGAAAGAATAGTCAATTACGCGTCATAATATAATACTACGTTCTTATATTATAACCTAACTTTCTTCCAAGCTATTCTATATAATTGAATGTGGACGATTCATGTGTTTCCAAGTAAAACTTACTGTACTTAATTATAAGATTAACCTAAAATAAGCTTATTGAAATAACTTGAAAAATAAGCTAAAAGAGAAAATATATGGAACCTTAACCTAACCCTAGTTAGAGAAGATATTAACCTGAAAGTGGAAGATTATGAAACTTAAACCAAAACCAAAACAAAGAAAAAAAGGCTTCTACATAGTGAGAGTGTATAAACATCCAATAATTGTAATTTTATGACAAGACATTGGATGTTAATTGTTGTATAGAGAAACCGTATATATACCTCCAATAATTGTTGTATCTTATAATAGCCAATATTTGTTTTAAATATTTATACGAATTAAATTCATATGAAAAAAATGCGAAACTTTTTAAAAATATTGAAGTATAATAATTAGAGTACTTTCTAATTTTACTATAAAAAGATAATCTTGATTAGCTAAAAGCCTTAAATTTCAAAATTTAATATTAAGATAATCTTGTACTATTTTTTTCATTTTTTTGAGTTACGTACATATCGTAAATATCAAACAGATTATATATGTTTATTTATTACACATTTTAACTACAATAATTATTCAAGATTAATTATCCTTTTGGTCTCTACACTTTCTGGATTTGATCTTAATTGAAAATAAAATTTTAAGCAAATCTTAATATTTGAATTTTTTTTCTTTTAATATAATTTTTGTTCACTTTTTTCTTTATGAAAGACCAAATATCATGATGCATAAATTCCGAAACTAACGCAAAAGGTTAATATTATTTCCATTCTACAAACAAATTATTATTTGTGATAAATAGATGATGTATATATTATAACAATAAAAATTTATTATTACTAGCTATAACATGTCCTTGTAAACCTAATTTATTATTTCATCTATTTATTTTTACTAATTATTTTTATTTTAATTAAACTTGTTTGTTTTCTCTCTTATAATTCTATCTAATGATACTCATATATCCAAAAATCTTAAAAGAGAGTTTATTCAGATAAATACATCTGTAAAGTAAAAACTCATAATAACCAAAATAAACAAACTTATAATAATTTCATTATTTTATTATTAAAAAAAATCACAATAATAAGAAAAAAAACGAAATAGTAAACTTTATAATTTCTAAAAAATAATTGTAATTATAGAACAAGAAGAAATAGTACTTTTTAATGAAAAAGTAAAAAAAAAAATTATCTAAAATAGGAATATGGTATTTTATGAAAATGTGTCAAAACTGTATTATTAATAACGATTTTAGAGAAGAAGAAGAACTAATTTTTTTTCTGTTTTTTCCTACAATCACGTAAAAGTAAACTAGTAAAAATATAATGAAATGGAAAAAAAAATAAAAAGGAACAAATAAATAACTAGAAAAAAAACGCAAAAAATCAATTAAATGAAAATTATGAAAAAAAACTATACTTATTATTTCTCATTATTTTAGGTGTAAGTTGAAAAATAATTACTACTAATTAAGAAAAGGTTATATTAACAGTAATAAAAATGATGATAAAAAGTGAATTAATTTTTGTATGATAATTATCCAAACGCGTGATGTTTAATGGAATGAAATGAACGAGTTAAACGTGAAGGGAAAGGCCAAAAACGTGGGCGCATTTACGGCACAGAAAAACGCAGTTGCAGAAGCCAAAGTACTCAATTGCACCAACCCAAACGGAACCCAAACCTAACCGTTTCGTCGCCGTTTACGTTTACCCACGCAAACAAGACGTGGAGGAAAAAACTAAACAACCATAATAATAAATTAGTAAAGGGATAATTATGAAGAAGAAATGAATGAAAATAATGAGAATAATAAAAAAATAATATAACTTTGGGAAAACCGAAACAAATGGAACAACGTGACACGGTAGGAGACAGCGGCAAGAGAAGAAAAGAAAAGAAACGAACCGCTTTTTAAAAACCCCACATATTCCTCGTGCTTCAATTTTCCACCTCCTTATTCAAAATTAAAAAAATGATATTATTATTTTATTCGACCAATTAAAACTTGTTATCATTTGTTATATATAAGATGAAGGGTCGGAGACAAAGATTATCATTACATCTTAGGAGAGTTTTCCTTTCTAATACAACTACCATCACCGTCAAAGCACGCGTTCTCTCTCTCTCTCTCTCATCAAATACTTGTGAATTTCTTTGTGGGTAGATTCAACTCATCATGTCCAGCTCGTCGGAGTACTCTGAATTTTCCGGCCAGAAACCGGCGAAGTCGCCGGAGAAGTCCAGCTTCTCTCAAACTTGTAGTTTGTTGAGTCAATATATCAAGGAGAAGGGTAGCTTTGGAGATCTCACCCTTGGTATGACATGCAGCACTGAACCATGTGGTATGGGTCCTTAAACACTCCGAAATTTTCTGTCTGTTTTTTGGTGTTTTTTATTTTATGTGCAATTTCAGTAAAAGTTTGGATGTTGCTCAGTTCTATAGAAAAGTGGTTTATTTTAGGAAGGGGAAATTTTGAATCTTGATGGGTACTTAATTAGTTATTCCTTTCCTCTTTGTTTGTTTTGAAAATAAATAAGTAAATGGATTCTGAGGAGGAGAACCAGCTTATGGGTCTTTAAAAGTTTTTTTTTTTTTCCTTATAAATGACAAACTTTTTTCTTGGGTTTCTGTCCTTGCTACTAATTTGTTGTCCTGAATGAATTTTCAAATTCCTAGATCTAACTCATGGCTCCAATTTTACCCCACTTTTTAGGATGAGACAAGAGGAAAAATGTTGGATTTTAATGTTTGGTCTGTTTTAGTTTCAAAACAAGGTTAATCTTTCAGATATTCTGCATGTCTTAGAGCTTTCCCCTCTATTTTGTTCTGATGTGAAACTTTTTACAGGGTCACCTGAGACATCATGTCAATCTGCTACAACTATGAACTTGTTTCCTACCAAGGAAAACAACGTGACACCAAAGAACCTGACAACTATGGATTTGCTCTCTCCACAAGCTTCCTATCATCCTTCAGAGGAGATTCCATCCTTGGTTAATTCCAGGTTGGTTGCACTGCCTCTTTAATTTGTTGTGAAGTCAATTAATAGTACCCTTTTGTTCCAACTTGCTGTGGAAAAAAATTAATGAGCAATGACTGCATAACAATTCATAAGACATGCTATTTAAATCTCCAATTTCTTTTAAGGCTATTTAGTAATTAAAAAAAAAAAATCCTTTCAACTAGTTTGTGACAATTTATTTATTCATGGTGTGCAGTGCAATTAAGCCTTTGAGCAAGGGTGCTAAAACTGCCCAGATGACAATCTTTTATGGTGGACAAGTTGTTGTGTTTGATGATTTTCCTGCTGACAAAGCAAATGAGATCATGTCCTACGCTAGAGGGAAACCACAAAGCCAGAGCAATTCTGTTTTCACCTACACACAGAGCCAGCCTTCATTTCCTCCTAACTTGGTCAGAGCTTCTGCTGATTCAAGTGCTCCAATTATTCCCACTGTGAATATTACCAACTCCATCCATGAACACTCTCAAGCATCAGCCAGACCTATTGTTTGTGGTAATTTCTTAAGATCACTAATACTTTGAGATGAATAGTTTCATTTAATTTGGTTTATGTTTTTCTGATCAGGAATTTCCATTTTCTGCAGATCTGCCAATTGCTAGAAAAGCTTCACTCCACCGGTTTCTGGAGAAGAGAAAGGATAGGTATGCACTCTCACCCTAACAAAGAAAACTCTAAAGATTTTATGCATGTATGGTATAGGAATATTTTAGGGAAACAATCTTTCCATTTTTCTCAAAAGAAAAACATTCATTTTGTAAATAAATAAGTTGAACTAAACACACAGTATTGCTTGCTGAGTGTGGTTGTCTATGTGTGGAAACTTAAAATTGAATAAAATTGATTCACAATACAAGTTATTACCCAGATGTGAATTCTTTTTATTTTCCCCTTGTTTGAAAAAAAAAAATTCTAAAACAAAATCTCCATTTACCCTTTGTAGATCATAGATATTATTAGTGTAAATTGGTTTCCTTTTTCAGAACTGCAATACATATCAGAACGGGTTATAATAATGTTTCCTTGTGTTGTTTTACAGAATTGCTTCCAAAGCTCCATATCCAGTAACTAATGGGCCTTCAAACAAGGCAGCAGAGTCCATGCCATGGCTTGGGCTGAGTGCTACATCACCTCAAATCTGAGAGCAGCTACAGTTATATATAAGTTTAAGCATATTTTTGTTGTGAAAATGGTAACTAGTCAGAAGTTTTTTGCCAGAAAACTTCACTAAGTTTCTGGTTATATTTTTTTCCTGACTAGGTAGCATTATTACTTTTCTTTTTTTCTTGTAATGTTTTACAGTGTTTTATGGGCTTCTTGTTAGCCCTTTATTTGTCATAGATCTAACTATTGGTTAGTTGCTTGCTGCTGCTCTAATTATAGTGATTCAATATATTCATTCTTATATAAAGATTCATCTCATTCTAATCTATCGGTTATTGCAAAATTGTTATTTTCCGGGGAATTTACCTTTTTTATTGTGTTTGACGTTCTTCTTTAAGTGTGTGTCTACTTTGAGGATTAAAAATGAAAAATGATTCAAAATAGTTTTTAATGCTTGGAATTTAGATTTATCTTTAAAATGAAAAATGAAATTTATTTAAAATAAAACAATGGAATTATGATGTCGTAACTTGATTAAGGATGTTGTTTGGTGAACAACCGTTGAAAAGGCCCTTAAAAGGAAAACGTTGCTATTAATTATAGAATTGGGTCGTTGCTACATTTCAAGAAAAATTACAAAACATGCCGTGGCTCAAAAGGCCCATGTTTGGCAAGAGAATTACATAATTGACACTTCGAAAGCAAAATATTTTGAGATTTGAAATCTGGCTTCTTCCTGAGCAACTTTTCAATGGATTAAATGTTTTTTTTTTTACGTTATAAACTTTGAAAATTCATATCAAATTTTATGCTTTAGATTCAACTTATTTTGCATCCTCAAAAACAAGTTTAAATTATTAATATGATATTAATTACGTAAGTTGCATAGTTTATTTAGTTTTGGGAAAGCATAGTTTGTATACCTAACTTTTAATTATTTTGATTTTAACAAACAAAAAGAAGATCTCTTTTTGTAAAACTAAAAACCACGAACGAGGTTTTATTAAGAAGAAGATATTGAAGACTATTGACACAACAAGATATTTTATTGAAATGTGTCCTTTGAACAATGTTGTTTAGTATTGTCAAATTCAAGGAACAAAGCCTAATTAAAGTACCATTCAACCTATTGTTTGTGATAATATCTTAAAATCACTATTCTTTTTAAATGATAGGGGTAGACTCTCTCACCCAAATAAAGGATTTTTTTTTTTCTTTTTTCAAGATTGTGTAGTAAAATAATATTTTAGGGGAATATTCTTTTAATTTTTAAAAAGCTTTAGAAGGAAAAACCAATTACTTATTTAAAATAAGATTATCCAAACACACAATATTGCTTAGTAAGAAAAACCTTTTAATTTTTTTTTTCAAGTTTATAATTTTTTTGTGTGTTTTTACAAAATTGACACAAAAGTTCCATAGCAAGTAATAAATGGGCCTCGTAACAATCAAGCCGAATCTATGCCATGGCTTGGGTTGGGTCCTACTCCATCTCAAATCTGAGCCCAACCACAATTAAATGTAATTTTAAGCTTATTTTTGTTGTGAAAATGTTAATTAGTCAGATTTTTTTTTGTCAGAACTCTGGAATAAGTTTTTCGTTAATTTTTTTGCTGTCTTGATAACTAATTTTCTGGGCAATTATTAAATACACTCACCTACTTACTAAGAACACCCCTTGTTCCTTTTTATTATTTTCCACCAAATTAGTGTTTGCAGAAACTTCATTGGTGAGTGTATTCTTGCAGCAGGTAAAGTTTCGAAAATGAATTTGTGAAATCCTAAAATTGAGTTTCCAAAAGGATGTGATATTTACCTTAACACGGGTATTCTTATGTTTGTTTGGAGATTATAATTAAGAGTAGGAAACAGTTAGAAAATGTGAATAAAAAGAGTAAAAAAAAAAAAAGTTAGACACTTATTGTTTGGAGCAGAATGATGTTTAATTTAAGGAAAGAGATGGTAGCAGACATGCAATGTGATAGTGGGGTATATGCCTACAATAAAAGGGCATCCTACCATAAAGTAGCTGCCATTGGGACCATAATATTCCTTTATAACCCTCTATCTATACCTTCATCGTTTATCAATACAATATTTTTAATATTTTTATTTATTTATTTTAAGTGAAAATGGGGAAGGGTGGGGCTACATGAAGACTTGGATTGGATTCCCCAGTGATGATGATATTCACTCCACCTGCTGCTGAATTTTAAACTGGTCCACCCTATTGTCCCTACCTCCTTTACCACCCACTTAACACCCCCAGATATCATACACCTTCACTTTAATTTGTTGTGTTAATTTTTTTTTAAATAAAGTATTTCACTTTTATATTTATCTTTAAGTTTGATCTTAATTTAATATAAGTTCTCAAACAAACAAAAACGAAGTTAAATCTTTTTTTTTATAAATTTTATTATTTTAGTAAAAAAATGTTATAATTTTTTTGTATAAATTTTATTATTTTAGTAAAAAATGTTATAAATAATAAATTTACGTATAAGAAAAAATTTAATAGCATATTCAAATAAAAAATAATTAAAATTACATAAAAATAAAAACATAAATTAAAAGATTATTAATGAAGGAAGAAAAGGAAAAGAAAAATAACCTCATCTGATAAACACTACGATCACTCAATCATTTCTGCACTGTGTTGAAAGCACGACTTTCAAAACCGAATTAAACACATGGAGCCCACCGATTTAATTATGAACTGCCACTCTCGTTAAAGCTGATTGAAGAAAGTGATAAAAAAATTATTATGTTTCTCAAAACACTTTATACAAAACAAAACTGAGTACAGAAAGGAAACCAATAATTCAAACAACGCACAGTAGAAAAAACTACACACCAGTGACAAAATCTGAACGAACCACTTCAGGTTTAAGAAACAGAACAAGTTAAATCTGTGCAATTGAGATGCCAAGTTTATAATTCTCAGTAAGATACAAAAAAGAAGAAACCAAAGCTCTTATTAGTATTCACTGCTTCAAAATCCCTAACCGATCAAAATTTTCCTATAGGTGCCTTAATTTTCATTCACATAATATAGTAGTATATAGTCTTATATGATGTGAATTCATCAAAACTTATATCAGTGTCTTGCTTGTTTCTGTGAACTTCCAACACCAGAGACAGAAACAAAACGCTAAAGGGCCACAATCCCAGTTGAAAACATTTGTTCCCTTGTGTAGGATGAACTAGACAATTCCACAGATCTTGAAGCTTCTGATCTACACCTCTCTTTGCGTTCATCCATCGATATTTGCCTTGAACGACACTCGGTGCTACAAAATCCTTTCTCCCCTCTGAACACACCAAAACAAATCATTAGTCCAAATAATTAAATGAATAAATGGATCAAATTTTGAGCTATAACTTTGAATTTCTCAGTACCTGTACATGTATATGTCTTGGCCATGGAGATTCTTTCTGCACAAATGACATGTGCTGAGAAAATCTGATGTGGGGTATGACGGTTCATTATCCTCAGTTAAAGTTTGCGTTTGTGGGATTCTTCTAACATAACCAACGTCGTTGTTAATGTTATAGTAGCCATGTGCTTGGATTCCACCTTCACCGCCATCATAATAAACCTTAGTGATGGTCTTGTTGGGAACATGGTATGTCACAAACGTGTAATCCTCTGAGTTTCCGATGGGAATTTCGGCAACCCCCTTTTCAAACGCGCGTTGGTGTTTAGCTGGTTTGTTCAAATTTGATGTGCAAACGGCGTGTTTGGGCAGAATTTCATGCCCCGGTTCCTCGGATTTATCAAGGGCCACCACGATTCCTAGACCAACACCACCAAGGTCGTAGCTTTTTAGACCCTTTGGTGACTGTTGCATCTTTAAGTTCATGTGATCAAACGGGCTTCTCGGGCTTCCGATGGCGTCGAAAAGCGCGGCGGCGCGGCCACCGGACACCAGTAGTTCGGATATTTTTCCGATCAGTGGCTGTGGCCTCTTTCCCAACATGACTACAATGGTGGTTAAAGTAACAAATGTAGAAAAATGAGGATGGAGGAGGTTGGTGTTTGTGTTGTGCCCAAGATTATAGTCTTATGAAGTGTGAGGTGAGGGTGTCTTTTATAAGGGCAACTTGGAGGACATCATAGATGTTGTAATATAATTGATGGAGTGGTTGGACTAAGCCCGTGGTTTTGTTTGGAAGTATGTGGGTGATGATTGCTTGAGATATGTCCAACAAATGATTTTTAATTAATTTATCGAGTTATTAAAGGTAGGGTTAATCTACTAATACTATTAGTATTAAGGAGATGCTTGTGTTGTGATGGTTTAGTTTAAACATTAATATTATTTAAGGGTCACTATGTGGGTCATCTTCCCAAAAATGTCATTTTCAATGATTAAGACGTCACATAAAAAATTTCAGTAATTTAGCTTGCTGAGTGCGTAATTAGGTGGTTTGATTATACAAATAATACGGCAATGGAGTAGTTTAATTGTTATTTTTGCACACCAAGGTTGATCTTTCATCTAAGTTTTCACCATTTCCTTATAGTAAGTACTTTGGATAAAAAAAAAAAAAAACACTAGAAAAATGGATTATATGTAGAATGTGATTTTGGAATGGGATAGTTTATAAGTTAGAAAGTGCTTTTAAAGTGGAAACGCGTTAGAATTAGAACCTTTTGAAGAGAACTGGTTCACAACTTTCTAAAATCATGGTTTTCAAATCCTAAGTTTCATAGTATAATTAGTTCAATCTAAATAGATTATATAGATAGACAGCATGAAAAACAAAGTATACGAAATTAAAATAATTTATCAAAGTTATTTGGATAAACTTTATTGTTTTTTTTTTTGTATAAACATTAAATCAGAAATATGTTGCTGTGATTTTTACTATGTTTTTCTTTTCTTATAAAAAAAAATTTTATTTCCAATTTTTTAGTTAATTGTATTAAATGAACATTAAATAAGAATAATTGTATTAGTAATAGCATGATGTCAATATTAATTTTTTAATTTAAAATAAATTCTGATATTTTTTTCTCATACAAAACGTTCTTAATAGTCATCAATTTTTTTAAAATGTGTATCTTTTGTAAAAGAAAATTATCTTTCAATCAAGTAAGTTATTGTCGACAACAAATCAATCTATGTATTTGTATTATAGCTCAATTATACAAAGAAAATCAGTTGAATAATTAAGTACATAAATTAAACAACGTATTTAATTAAATAATACCTCGATATTATTTGATTTATTTGTAAGAGAAAGTATTGGTATTTTCAAAAAATTAATAATAAAGTTTTCACATATCATATAAACAAATATTAAATTATTTTCAACCAAAAATTTTAAACATTAAATTATAAATATTTTTTATTTATAAAAGAATATAATATTATTTTTAATCAAAAATCTTAAATAGTAAATTATAAATATTTTTTATTTATAAATTACTCAATTTTTCAACTCACCTTTCAATTTTCAAACCACCAATAATAATCAATCCCTTAACCCTGTTCAAAATTTGGGGATAAATTAATTTTTTTAAAACACTTTTATTTTGGGTTCATCATTGAAGTGACTTTGTTTTGTTCTCCCGAAGAAAGAATCTAACCGTTGGATAAATTGGGGCGTGTCCAGTGTTTGAGTAAAATCAAGGGCAATGATTGATTGCAGAATCAGGTGGTCCATTGGAATGGGTTATATTATACTTGTCTCTAATTGATGTAGTTTTGAATTATATTTATAAATTGTCTCAAATTCTAGTTACCTCGGTCACGATTCATGAATAGTTTAATTAAGATTAGATTTTAAAACAAAGAAATTGAGATTAATTCATATTGAAATATTTAGCGAGTAAGATTACAATATAAATGAATAACGTTAATTGTTTTACTTAAGTATATACGTTATCAAGATTAGTAATGTCGAAAATTTGTATGAATAATATTTTCAACTAGTTTAAAAACGCATAAAAAAGTTAAATTGAATAATTTGTATACATATTTTTTTCTTTACAATAAATTTGATTATGTTGTTTCTAGGATTAAAGTCGTAACATTTTAGATCGTAAAGTAACAAAAGGGAGTTAAAGGTATAATAAGTGAAAGTGTGGAGTTAGAATTTTGAACGTGTACTTATTTTTTTATAAATTGATTTTGGTAAATTTTTAAAGTTTATGAGGAATAATTAGTGATATTTTATTTTAATTATAGGAAGATATTGAGGTGGTTTTGAATTTAAAGTATTAATTGTTGAACAAACAATTTTTTAGTGAAGTTATGAGTTGGGTTAGGTGAGTGTGATGTTATTAAATGTGGTTTATCCACTACTGTGGTAGAAATTACTTGTATTGTTAATTATTAAGATTGAAAAAATGTTTAAAATTTAACAAAATTTGTATCTCATTTTTGTTTTAGTGAAACATATGTCATTTAAATAATAAGGATAAAATGATGGAATAAATAATTTAAACTAATGTCGCTTTATTTAAGTTAGAGTTTTTCACTTAAATGAATAATTAAATTGGTTTAATTTTTGTTTAAATAAGGTTATTTTCGCTTAAACAAAGTATTATAAACAAAAGAGAAAGTTGAGACAACTACATTCTCAATAAAGTAATAATTTATTGCATAAATGAGAGACTTCTAGATGTTAAGATATAGATTCTAATTTAGATTTAGTTAAAGGATTTTTTTTAAACTTAGATAAGAATTATCTCATAAAATCTTACTCAAACAAAAAAAATACTTGAAATTAAGTCGAGTTAAAGAGAAATTTATAATTATCTAACATATAAATATATGTGAGATTGATTTGAGTTAGGAATGTAATCCATAATCATTTAAGATATATATATAATTAAAAAGATATTGTGTGGTATTAACGTAACTATATATTCAAGTTGATTCAATTATATCTAAATTAATGATTTTGATAAAATAGATTAAAATATTGATAAAAGAAAAATCAAATAAAAAATTACTAATAATTTGTCTTATGTATATTATAATAAGGTTATAAGTAGTTATTGTTACACTTTCTATTTTATGAATAAAGAAACCAAAATAGTATTGGTAATTAAAATATATATTGTACAATATTTATTTTAACTTGATATATGATAGTTTATAAGTTTAGGAAAAAAAGTGTCTAATTGAATTAGTTGTGATGTAATATAAAGTAACATAAAAATATATAAATATTGTGAAAAGTATATAAACCATTATAATTAAAAGTTATTTAGACAATAATTTTTACATTTTTATATTACTTTATGGTTAAAAAATGATAAAGTATCCTTTAAATACAAACTTTAATTATCAAAATATCAAAATAAATAAAAACTTCATGAAAACATGTAATCTTAAAAAAGTTTGATGTCAAAAAAAATAAAAAATAAATGAAGAATCACCTGTATGAATCAAAAAATAATAACAAAAGAAAAATACGCTAAAAAGAATAATATGAAATTGGATGAAAAAATTAATAACAATTAAAAATATATTGAAAAAAAAATTCAAATTAACAAATATTAAGATAAGATGAAATATTTTAAATATATTAATATTTATTTAGTAATCTATTTTATTAGGTTTCAATTAAAAAAATATATATCATATTATTATTTATATTGGAAATAAAATTGAAGTTAATATAGTTAGTTTTTTATCTTTGTAAATTTAATTTAAACCTTAAAATTATTTGAGAGAATAATTTAAATATTTAAAAATAAATAAGATTTGTGTGTGTGACATTGACAAGATAAGATATTGCATGATAGAGCCCACTGAATTGAAGAGTACAGCCTTCGGTTTACTGTGAAAGTGACGTGGTCGACTCCTCCACAACCATAAACCAAACTCCAATTATTTTCTCTTCCTCTTCTTTTTCTTTTCTTTTTCTTTTTCTTTTATTTCAACTAAAAGACACAAAATAACTAGCTGTACCCAGTGTGTTTTTCTCACTCTTTTTTTTATTTTATTTTATTCTTCAAAGCTATTTAATTCTATTAACCCAATAAATACAAACTTATATTTCTAATAACTTGCTTCTTGTCTTATCATACAATGCCATCAAATATATTACCATGTCCTACTCACATCTTTTTTTTTTTAATTAAATTATTTCAATTTTTAATTCTAATAATATTATTTTATGTATAAAAGGAAAACGTTATATTATTTTCTCTTTTTACATTACATCTATCTCCTTTAAATAAAATATTTAATTAAAATTAATGCTTTATTGATTTTAGTTTCGGCCATGAATGACATTTAAGAGGTAGAACAATATTTCATTTATATTTTATTTTAATTCTTAGAAATGTTGTTTAACAAAAAACACTACTACAAAATATGCTTTCAACGTCTGTTAAAGTCGAACTGACGTTAAATGATGTAGAAAGTACATTCAACGTCTGGTTCATCCGAACCGACGTTGAATGTGTTTTCACCAAAAAATCTTTTAAATTAGAGAATTGCCACTGGTAGGGTTCGAACCCAATACTTTAAAGTTGAAAGTTAATACTCCAACCACTAAACTACTGTAATTTTTCGATAATAACTTACAAATTAATTATATTTATATACAAATAAATATATATTCCGTATAAATATATATTTATTTATATTTTCTGGAAAGTGTTTTTATTTTTTTTCAGCCAAAAATTCACTTAAGTTAGAGAATTGTCACTGACAGGATTCGAATCTAGTATTTTAGAATTGAAAGCTAATACTCCAACCACTAAACTACTGTAATTTTCTAATAATAACTTACGGATAAATTATATTTATATACAAATAAATATATATCCGTGTAAATATATATTTATTTATATATATTTTCTCGGAAAGTGTTTTTATTTTTTTCAGTACAAAATTCACTTAAGTTAGAGAATTGTCACTGATAGGATTCAAATATAGTATTTTAGAGTTGAAAATTAATACTCCAACCACTAAACTACTATAATTTTTTTATAATAATTTACAAATAAATATATATCCGTGTAAATATATAAATACAAATATATTTATATATTTTTATGTTGGATGTGAGGGGCGCGATCGAGGGTGAAAGTGAGATTGACTCTCGTTTGAGTGAAAATACGTTAAAGCTCACGTAAATTCACTCGTTCAAGCCTAACTTGAGCGAAAATTGGTATTTTTCGCTTGAGCGAATGTGTCACTTGAGCGAATGATGCGTTTTTCAAATTTATTTTATATCATTATATAAATAAATTATAAATATTATATTCTGTCATTAAATTACAAACCCATATATAGAGACTCGCTCACAAATTTGACATTAAATTTTGAAAACCCACTCGACACACACTTTCACCTTCGAGCGTGCCCTCACATCCAATATATAAATATATTTGTATTTATATTTTACACTGATATATATTTATTTGTATATAAATATAATTTATTTGTAACTTACTATCAAAAAATTCGAGTAGTTTAGTGGTTGGAGTATCGCCTCCAACACTAAGCGATCTGGGTTTGAATCTGTCAATGACAAAAAAATAACTTGGTAATGCTTTAAACTTAAAAAAAATATGATAAATAATAAAAATATAATATAAAAGAGTAAGGGACCTAATAAAAATATAATATAAAAGAGAGGGAGATTTCTAGATAAATAGAGAGGTTGGAAATAAATAAAAAAATTTAATTTGAAAAATCAGACTTTCAACGTCGATTCTATTTGTAGTAGTGAAATTGTAAAATTTAGTGAGACTTTATCTATTAAGAGATTATTTATTTTATTATAATTTGATTAATTGATTTTAAATTTGGTGAGAAGATATACTAAGATACAATCGATTTAATTAAAATTATTGATAACTAATTAAGTTAAATTTAATGATTAATTAAGTATTATTTTATAGTATTATTGTGAAGTTATGATCCTTGACCAACATTTTCATCACTGCTAGTAATTATTATGATGTGAGTGTAATAAAAACAATGATCGTAACATAACGATGATAGCTATGTGGTTAGAACAAATGAATTATTAATAAAAAAAACTCCTATCTAAGCAAATAGGGTTGCCCTTTGCCTTTCTTGGTCCACCAGCTATGAAAGAAATTACAAGCATGCACGTGTAAGAATAGATGATGAACACGTGTAAGAATATTTGTAGAATGGAATATGTGCATGTGGCAGTGGTGGTGAGTCATGGTTGGAGATAAATTCGAGCCAATATTTTTTTGGTGGCATTCATGAGAAAGAATTGAGATAGTACTCAAAATCTTTGTCTGTCGAGGAAGATGCATGCACTTGTGTAAAACAAAGGTAAAATGTTGATCATCTTTCATAAATTTAAGGTATATTTAATATGTAAAACAAATCCATTTTTCTCATTCATATATTTTCATAATAAAAAATATTTTCTTTACTATAAAATTACTAAAATGAGCTTAAGGTTTAGGGTATTAATTATTTTTATTCTAATAATCCAATTCAATAAATAAAATTTACTCTAAAATCTAAAATTATTTATCTATTAATATAAATTATTAAAATTTAACATGTAATATATCTTATTTATATAATAATATAAATGTGTTGATTTTAATTTTATAGATTTATTTAGTGTATAATTATTTTCTCATGTACAAATTGTATATATGAAATAAAAAAGTTTCTAATTTATAAATATTCACAATTAGATTAAAAAAATAAACGAATCATTTCGTAATCTTATATATTGGATATTAATTAATATGTGATCTAAAAAAGTTATTAGTAATTTTTAATTTTGTATGTGACCTTGGACTCAAATTCTATTTGGATAATTTTTATTTTTACATAATTCTGTATCCTCATCAACAAGTTATATTAATTAGAGTATTTATAATCCAATCGATCATACAAAATGAAAATCAATTTTTAAAAATTTTCAGATTTATTTTTAATAGAATATATTTTTTTAATTTATATTTAATAACCAAATCAAACAATTTAATATATTTAAATATAATATTATATATTTAAATTTAATTAGCATTTAACAGACTTATAAATATATTTTTTAATATTATTTAACGTTCAATTATATTTTACTCATCATAAATTTATATTTATCAAAACATAATAATAATAATAATAATAATTTAATAACATAAATTTTAAATATAACATTACATAATCTATTTATAAAATATAAAAATAAAATTTATAAATATAATAAAAATGATTTCTATATAATTTCTATTATTTTTTATTTAATATTAATACTAGGATAAAATCCTGTAAACTTTAATAATTAAACTTATTTTATTTTATCTGAATCCACTTGATCTAACATAACATAACTCAATTTAGTTTGATTCAACTTAAACTCCTACTAAAGAGGATCTTAATTGATAACAAAACAATCATCCGAGTTTATTTTAGATTACTTGTATATTATATATTAATAATTTTGATCCTTTCAATTTTTTATATATTTATATTTTAATAATCTATTAAATTTGTGTTGATCTGAATAAAATATTATTAATATCATTTTGAGTTGGCTTAATTTTATTAATTTTTGAAATTTTATTTTAATTGAATGTTAGATCAAAACTTGCAATGGTTGGTATTGTGACGACTTCGAGCCCAATAACTCTAACAGCCCTAAGATGTGGACTGAAAATTGGGTTTAGACATTCTTTCTCTTCAAAAATATTTGGATTGGCGTTGCCAAATTTGTTTTGCCATCAAATTAATTGTTTCAGGTTGAAGAATTGGGGTGGGAAAGATCCACACACAACTGCAAAAGATGTTGTCTATTTTGTGGCTTGGTTTTTTCAATTAAATTTCTAAAATGTCATTTAATATTTAACAAGTATTGAAGTTTAATATTTTTTTAAAGGTATTACAATTTAATAATTTTTAAAATCTTTGATATTTGTAAAAAAAATTGTTCCTTCTAAAATTTCCGCCTTTATTTTAAACAATAAAATAGGAAAATAAAACATTGCGTATGATGTCGCGTATAAATACATTATTAATTTATTTTATGTTATACGTAACAACGTAAAATTATAATAACATGTTTCATATGCATATATAACTTGTTTTTTCTCCATTATCACGGTGGAGTCAACTTTGGTGGTCCATACATTACTACTACTACATAGGTTTACGATTTTCTCTTTTATGAGTTTGGTAATTGAATTTATTTTCATCTTCAGTTATCAATTTTGTCTTCCTCTTTCCGCCAAACATATTAAGTATAATTTTCAGTCATTAAATATAATTTTCAGTGTAAGTAGGACCCAAAACACCTTTGAAACTTCGCAAAAGCGTTGAATGAATGGTCCGTACTTTTACATATGCACGTTATATAGATTTGGGTCAGTGAATTTCTTTTTTTAGTCCATCCAAAAGTAATTTAACACTTAATTCTCTGGTAAATTTAATTTTTTAATAATTGAATCAAATTTTTTATGATATTTATCTATCAAATTCTTTTATCGTAAATACATCAATTTTGTCATAGAATAGTCACATTCATTGTCATACCGATTACATAATCGATTTTGAATTCAGACTAAGAAATTGTAAAAGAATTCAAATAAGATTTCACCAAAGCACGGCAACGCTATGACTTTCAAATGCACAATAGCTAACTTCATCATGAATTCTTCTTTAATGTTAGAAAAATTAGTTTTCACACTTATATATTTATTAATTCATGTTTTCACCATTAAACATGGAAAAATCAATATTGATTATCCGAATTCTCCACACATAATTCGGATATGAACGTGTATCCTAAGATATTATTATTGAAAAAATTAGTATTACTATGATTGATTTTCTCTCCATAATCAATTCTTGTAATGTTTGTTGCAAAGAAGAAAGAAACATTCATCTTTCATATATTCGTTTTTTATGTCTTTAATTGTCAGAGCCGAGCGGATAGTGTCTGTCACGTGAATTTCACTTAAAGGAGTAATTGAAACCAATTGATAAGAATTTGGAACCCTATAGTTAATTTTGAAAAAAAAAATGTAAGGTATTCAATTTAACACTAGGTCATACAGAAAAGGAACCCTATACTGAATTACCGCAATATCATTGAAAGGTAAGAATGTTGATTACAATAGGAAACATTTCAACGAAAATGGGTCATATCAAAGAGCTCTATTAGTCTTTTTCCCGATGATCATTATGATAATGTGTGGAACAGATGATGAAAGTGTGGTCAAAGATCTATGATCCTCACACAAATGGTCCTACAAGGTTGGGATAACAAATTCTTCAGTGAAGACTCCCCTTATGCCTCCGCTTCCAAATTGGATTCTGAGAGCAAGAGTTTGGAATTTGTGCTGCCATGGACGTCCCATTACAGATAAAAAGTTGGCAAGTTTTGGCAATCCACATGGTGAATGTGGAGCATTTAGCAAGGGCAGTTGCGAAACCAAAAACGATGCTTTGTCCATTGTACAAAATCCAAGTTTTTCATTCATTTTCATTTGTTTCTTCGTAATTATCTGCATGACATGATGATAGTTTAACTTTATTCATTTTGGGGATTTTGTAGGCACAATGAGTTGTGCACAGGATATGGTTCAGACACTCGCTCTGGAAGCAGTTTGTTAGGATTTTTGTTTTGGTTTCGTTTCTCAGAAGCCATGCAAAACCCTACTCCCACGTAGGGATAGAGACACAGGAAGTTACAAGAAACTAAGGCTATGGTTTAGTTTGTAAAGTGTTTAAATCAAATTTAACTTTTTGATGAAATGCGTTTAGTTACTTTTCTACAAAATTTATATAGTATTTAATTTTAAGTTTTAAATAATTCAAAAGTTAAGTAACCTAGTAAGTCAATCAATTTAAGTAAACATATATAATGTTAGTTTTTGTTTTTTTTTTCGTAAAAAATAATTAATTCATATCAATAAAATAGTTAAATTTGCTGATTTAAATTCATACAAAATTAGTTAATTTTAATTAAAATATCATAATTTTAAATTTTATTTTATAAATGATAGAATTATGACATTTTAATTAAAGGACATTTTCCTCCAGCTGATATCTAGGATAAAAAATTTAGAAATATTATTAAGAAATATTCTATAAAAATATTGATATTGATATTTAACTAAAATATTTTCAGATTATATTTTAACCAGGTACCAAAATATCTGTCTACATTACGAGTTAAAGTTTTGAAGAATATGTTTATGTCTTATTACAAGTCTTATTGAACAATAGTACGATGAATAAGAATATTGAATATTACTTTAGACCTTAAAAATAAATTTTAGGTTATATTAATTTGTCAAACATGATTCTTTTAAAGTCTAAACTACCTATTTTCATATATCACATCTCTTTAAATAGTGAGTTTATTTTTCATAAGTTATAGTTTGTTTTACATTAAAAGTTTAAATTGGTATATAAGTCCCGCGTATTTACGTATTTAAGGATACATGGAACATATCTAATGACATAATATGAATAAAACTATTTAATTACACTAATTACTAAATTTTCGGAAAGATATGGTCAAATTTAAAATAAAATAAAATTATATATATATATATATATATATATATATATATATATATAATTTTTATATTTTAAATTAGAATCTTTCAAAAAGATAAATAATTTTTTTGGAAATTTATGTCAATTTGTTATTATTATATTAAGAATTATAATAAATGTACCCACAGTTATATGGTTAGATTATAAATATCAAGTACAGCAACGTATTTGATCAAAATAAATAGGTTCTTCCGAAATTCCTTCATGCTCTAATAAACAAAAACAATTATTTTTTAAATAATTTTTTTTAATCTAAAAGAGATATTCGTTTATTTAGTATCATACTATCTCTATCGTTGCATCCATTATAATAAGTTATTTAGTAATTTGTTTTGATTATAATTTTATTTTATCTTATGTAAATATTAATGTTTTTATATGGATTACTATTATGAATATTTTTTTATTAGAAGATATGGGTCATGAATATTAATAAATAATAAATAAATATAAAAATTTTAAAAATATAAAAATATGAGAAATTAACATTATAAATATATAAAAGTATATTTAATGATGATTAAATTTAAAAAGATTAAAATGATAAATATACATATAACATATAAAACTTTTGTCACATAACCTCCCTCAACTCTCAACTCTTATGAAGTTTTGCTATCATGAAATAGTCTATGAGCACATGAATTAAATTATAAAGATTCTCTTATACCAATCTCAATTACAACAATTTTACCGTCTAATAATATAATTGATTATAATTATTCCTCTTCCAATCATAAAAGAGAAATTTTCTATTCTCAAATTTTATCTCATTACAAATATTGTAAATGTGTATTTCTTATTGTGTACATTAATATGAATTTACGGATAAGATTGGGATTAAAGTTAGATTTAAGGTAATCAATGATTATAATTGGAGATCTTAAAAAATATTAACTTTAAGATATATCTTACGGTGAAAGGAGGGGACACATTGAATGGTTAAAGGAACTCCAAAGAAAATGGTGACAAGAAATTTGGAGTGAAAGGTCTTAAAAGTAATAATGAATTGTGAAAATAAAAATAAATAGAAATATCTGTTTCATAATTAGATATTTAAATTAGTTGATAAGGGATGCTGGAACTCCCATTTTAAATCTAATATAATAATGACTAGTGAAATAAACTTAATATTGATATTATCTATGTAAATTTAATTAATAAAAATTAATAAATAAAATTAAAATAACTCATCTTAAATGATTTTTTATTATACATTATAATTAATTGATTATTTTTATTAAATAGCTTAAGTAATTGAGAATATTTATTTTCTAATATATAGATGTATACTGACTCATAAGTCTTTTAACAATCATGTTTCTGCTTGTTTTAAATGATGTGACATTAATATGCATAATAAAATATTTTAAAATAAAAAATAATATAAAAATGAAATTTAATAAATTACGTTTATAATGTTAAATAACATTTATATACTCATATTTCTTGTAGTTATAAAACAAACACATTTATCTCATCTTTTCAATAAAATAACATTAACATCTCCGTTTTTAAATAGGCATTCATTTATTTTATACATTTTTTCTATATTTTATTTACAAATAATATATTTACTAAAATATAAAGAAAATACTATGAAAATTAAAATTTCAAAATAAATCATTTTTAATAAAAATTGAAAGATTATAAAACAATATTTCTTCCTGTAAATGAGAGCAATTTTTCTATAATTAAATAGTTCATGTAAAAAAAATTTGATTTTATATTTTAAAACTTTAATTTTTTTATTTAAAATTTAGTCCAATTAATATTTTTAAATAAAATAAGAAATGGCGTATGAATTTAGAAAAATATAAAAAAATAATTATCATTTACTAAAGATACAAGAAACATTTGTAACACGTAACTGTGAGTTATTGAAGAACAAGTGGCATCTTAAAAGCCCCCACCGCGTCTGCAACAATCAAAAACGTTTAAATGGATTCCTTTGTCTTTACAGCGCGTGCATGCATAATAGAATTATTTATTTATTTAATATAATTTCAAATCTCAGGAGTACACAAATTTTGAGTTTTTTTTTTTTTCTCATCTATGATCATCACATGTCATGTCCCATCTTAATCCTAGAAGAGATCACACAATAAATGTGACACAAACAAATACCAATTATGTCCACTTGAAAATATCTTATCCTTTTAAAATTCAATGAATGCTCAAAATAAACAACTTTACAATTAATGACAATGAAATCAATTATGTTTCCATGTCAAAAATTCGAAACCTTGGCTATTTTGGTAAATAAATAAATAAATATTACCATTTTCTTCACTAACTACTGACAAAGGGCTTGGCCTAACAAAAATGGACCAACCCAAACCCGGATCCGATTGACTCCGGATTCTGGCCCCGGGTTTGGATATAATAAAATTATCCAAACCCTGACCAGCTTAGAAACTCCACAAGAACGAGTCCTGAATTAACAACCCGTCCAAGTTTTCCTCCCCGTAATCGAAGCTCGGAAACTCCGGCAGGAAGAAATCGCGGCTGAAATCGTCGAAACTCGGAAAATCAGAGAACTCGGGTGTGAAATTGACCGAACCGAGTTCTGGAAACGGGTCCGGCATCGACCCGCTTAGGAATCCGGCGTCGTTCGGAAACGTCACGTCGGAGAGAGGAGGAGACGCCGACTCCAACTGCAACGACATGGTCTCTTCGTCGGAAGCTGAAGACTCCACGTGTTGATGACCCGAACACTCTGTCTGAGGCTCCGAATTGGCGAAGCGTGCGGCGGCGATCTGAATCTGAGAGGGGGTCATGGTCCTCCCGCCGGCAATGTTGGGCGGGTCAGTCGGGAAGTTAAATTTGGCGCCACTGCCACGTAAGCAGAACATGGCGGCGTCGAAAGCCCGCGCCGCCTTCTCGGCGCTGTCGTAGGAACCCAACCAAATCCTTTGACGGCTGTTGGGAAGCCTAATTTCCGACACATATTTTCCCCACTTCCTCTTCCGAACTCCTCTGTACGATGTATTGCTTTGCTCCTCTGCTGGTTTTTCCAAGCTACTGGGCTTCACCATTTTTTTACACCTGAACTTTATACAAGTAATGAAAAATGTTTTACTTTGATGATGTGTGTTGTTCCTTGGTTTTTTGTTGTTGGGATTATAGAATTGGAAGCTTTGTCTGTGGTTTGTGCTGAGGAATCTCTGTCGTTTGCGTTTTCTGAGGGGAGAGTTTGTTTGCGGCTCTTTATATATGTGCCGAAGCGAGTGAAGATGTTTGACTCCACTGTGATGTAAGACTTCAAAGGCGCGTGTGTGGCTTTGGAAAGTGCATCACTGGACACCTGGGCGAAGATGACGATAACAGTGATGAGTTTTGCGTACGCGTCGAGGACAGTCCCTGGAGGAAACAAACTTGGACCCCCAAGGTTCCTTTTTTTTTTTATTCCACGTGAGTTTTAGAACCCTAGTGTCTCCACGAGTGTTATTTTGTCTCAATTTTTCAATATATACATATATTTTTAATCAATTCTAACAAGTTTGGGAATTAGTGGGTAGGGTAACATAATCTCACTTTTAACTTAGTTGCGCCCTTGTTGACACAGCATTTGCTTTAATAAATTACTCATTTGCGGCTACATTAGGAGCATGCTTAATTTAATAACACTTTGTTTGGATTGGAATGTTGAAGTTTGAAAATTTGAAGTGCACGGGGTGAGTAATAGAAACAAGTAAATATTACTTGGAATGATTCTAAAGTTCGAGAGAAAAATCAAACAAAAAAATACCGTTGTTAATAACACCAGTAAATTGAATAATTAATTCTAATGAAACATGAAAAAGAAGGTGATTTTTTTTTTACAAATATAATTGAAATTTAAGAAATAAATATTTACGACTCTCGAATATTATATATATATTTGTGTTATAATTATTGCTATCATCACTTAGAGGAGTACATGTGTGACCTTTAATCAATCAAGATCACTCCATTCAAAGGCAACGCGTTGCGACTGATCGCTGTGTATGACCAAATGTTAAAGTAATGTGTGCATTAAATACCAAAAACCTCTTTTAAACAAATATTTATTATTTACAATATTTATACAAGCTAATTTTAATGAATAAATAATATGTCTTTTTTTCCTTATATATTTTATTTTTATTTTTTAAATAAAGTCACTAAAATATGTCTTTAATACTCTCTCTTTCGAAAGCAAGGCCAACTTTTATACCATTCCAAGGCCATCATAACCTGATTAGACTCTGTTTTTGTTTTCTTATACTTTTATTTTATTAATAAGAAATTAAGAAATTTGATTCTAAGAAATTATCTATAATATAATAAAAAGAAGGATAAAACAAGTAACTTTTCATCTCTACTTACTACGATTTTTTTTTTAATAACTACGCTTTACAATATTATTATAATCTTCCAACTATCACAGAAATACCAAAATAGTTTTTTATCAGCAAATTACACCAGTTACTAATTTGCATATAGTAAATACAATTATCCAATCACGGAAAATAAAAAGTAATGGCAATGTTTCCCTCACGTTAAAATGTAATATAAGAAAGAATACGACAATCGCCATGTCGCAAGAATATGACAGGAAGAAAGTACCATGGTCAACGTATCAATCCCAGACACATTTTGTATCATCTATTGTTTTTTTTTTCGTCGCATTATTTTTAGAACTATTACTTTAATTTGTTGTAGATCATAGATCAATGAATGCAAAAAGTTTATTTTCCGGTTTAAAAATCGAATCAAAGTAGATGTTATGAAAGAGAATAAAGTTATATTATGATTAAATGCAAATATAATTAACTAATAGGTAGGCCAAGGTATACCAAAGGTAGACCTTCAAAGTTTACAATTTAAAACATTTTTATTCCTAATTCAAAATCAATTTGCATAAAATGATATATTTTCAAATTAAGTTTTTCTTACAAAAAAAATATTAAATTTATACACTAAAAAAAAGAGATATTTCTACAAAATATTACCTACGAATAAAAATTTGTAGGTAAAATGTACATTTTATATATATATATATATATATATATATATATATATATATATATTATCTACAAAATTTTATCCATATGTAAATTATCTATTATCTACGGAATTATTATTTGTAGGTAATGTCATCCGTGGGTTATTATTTATTACCTACGAAATATTGTCTGCAGGTAATATTATTTGTGAATATTATCCATTACCTACTGAATTACTATCCGTAGGTAATATTGTTCTCCATTACGTACGAAATTTCTATCTATGGGTAATACCATCCGTGAGTAATTATCCATTATCTACATAATTACGATCAGTAGAAAAATTACATACAAATTATAATCCATAGGTAAATTATATCAAATTAACATAATTATATCAAATAGATAAATATGTAAATATATAAATATGTAAATATATAAACATATAAATATATAAATATATAAATGTATATAAATATATCAAAATATAAATATAAATATATTTGTATTTTTATATTTTATATTTATATATTTACACGGATAAATATAAATATAATTTATTTATAATTTATTATCATAATATCCTAATAGCTTAGTAGTTAAAATATCAACCTCCAAATTTAAGGTACTAGGACTCTAGATAATAATAAAAAATAAACAGGGGTTATAGTAAATACAAATATTTTGTTCAAGCGAGTACATTATCTACAGATAATTACCACAAATGGTATTACTTCCGTATAGTAATTCCGTACATAAATTACTTACAAATTTTCTAAAAAAAAAATCTGTAAATAAAATAATATTATCTACAAATTTTTGCCATAGATTTTTTTTTTAAATAATAACGAATATATCAATCATAAAAAATTTTAATTGTCAAACTTAACAAATATAAGATTCAATTTAGAGGGATATATATATATATATATATATATATATATATATATATATATATATATATATAATAGTTAAATTATAACGAGTTGAATTTAAATTATCTTAACTATGTTATAGAAAACATAAATAATCATAAATTTGAGATATTATAACTTTATTTTATATTGTTTAACAGAAAGCATTTTTCTTGCATAAAATTGTCAAAGAAAAATAAACAAAAATATTAAATGTATTTATAATTAAATATATGTTTCTTTAGCTACTCAAGGTTTGTAGTATCAAATCATTCATCATAATTAGCGACCGATAAGTTTGGGTTTTGAAACTTTTAGTTCAATTTTAGCAACGGAAATTTATCTTTCACAAGGTAAATTTATCATTTTGTTGCCAATATAATGGTTGAATTGAACGCTTTTGACAATAGTTAATGAATTTGTTTTGTTGAACTAGATTTTACCAAAAATATCATGAACACGATATTTCCATATTTTTATTGCATAACAAACTTACTTGTTTTCTCCCGACAATTTTATAAGTCGTGTTTCATAAACATAAGTTATGTTTTTTTTTTATATAATTCAAATGGACCTTAAAATATAAGATTTATAGGATTTAAAATAAAATTCAAATATAACGTATCTAAGATATATGAATTGTATTTTAAATTGTTTCATATTGTTCGTTTGAACAAATGAATAACGTATGGAATATAACTTGTCATCGTTTTTTGAATGCCTTATCCTTATCTACTACAACTGCACCAAATTATAATATTTTTTTTATGAAGTACGTCCACGAAGAAAACACCTGGGTTGATACATTGACCAGTTTCATTTCCCATTATTACTGTCCATTTCGATTGAAATTTTTTTGCTTCTCCAAACACGACAGTTTTAATCCTCACCAATCTACACATGGCTCATGTCACAAACGATGACATTATATATATAAAAGTATAATTAGCGTGGTTGTGTAATATTGAATTAATCATCTCACATCTTTTTAATATTAATATTAAAGTTAATTCTAAAAATATTAAAATATTATCCATTCACATGGTGAAATAAATAACTCTATCAAACTATTATTTATCCTCTATATAAAGTGAAAGTAATAAGAAAGAGATTTATGATAATGTGAAATATGTTCTTACATTTTCAAAAGATGATTTTGAAGATGATTCAAGTCAACAACATTCAAGATTCAAACAAACCCAAATATGATTATTCAAATCATTCAAGATTCAAGCAAACTTAAAATGATTCATAAAAATTAGATAGAGTCTTAGAATACTGGATATGAATGTACAAGTTAATGAAGTGGTATTATGCATAAGCCTTTAAAACACAAGTATGATAAAATTTTGTAACATGACACTTTTCACTGTCATAATCAATTATGATGCATCAGAATTGGAAAAACGATTTTCTCTTTGTCATAATCGATTATACTAGTAACATAATCGATTATGGCAATTCAAATTTGAAAAATATATCCGTTTTGAAGAATAAATATTTTTGATACATCCTGATTTTTCTTTATGATATTATTAATGACCAACGACTATTTTCTTATTTAAATGAGTTTTGATGAAAAATCAAATATACACAATAACAGAATTCGAAAATACAATTTTACATTTATTCAGTTTTAAGAAAAAAATTCTAAGCAAGACAATAAAAATATTTTACACCTTTTGAGAAAACCATATTCTCTACTACCTTTTGTGTTTTCATTGTTAATCACACTTATTCTTGAAGGTTGATATTCTACAGACTTCTACAATTTGTTGTCTTCATTACCCAGGTGTAATTGTTCTTATTTTATTGCCTTCATCCTTTAGGTTTAGGTGGTTGTTGTTATTTTTTTGCCTTAATCCTTTTTTTTAGGGTTAAAACACTACTAAAAATTCTTATTTTTCATGGGAATATTTTTACAAAGTTTTTGTAAAAATTGCAAGAAATAAGTTTTCTATAAATTTAAACAATTTTTTGCAAGAAAATTGACAGAAAAAAACTAGTTTTCTAGTAGTGTAAAGTGGTTGCTATTAAATCCCCTGTTTAGGGTTTAAGTGGTTACTGTTAAATCCTCTTTTTTGGATTTAAGTGGTTGTTGTTCATCCTTTGATTTGTTCAGAGGAGGTGTTTATTCCTAGTGAGATTCTAGGG